TTCGAATCGCCTATTTTTGGAGGTCACTCAACACTTTTTCAGCTCTTGAGTTCATCAAAATAAGCATGCTTAGTTGTTGCGCGATTTCTTCCCAATATTGAAATACCAAATTGGTTTATTTCAATGACTTCAGTTTGTTGCGCTTAGCTGCAGACATAACATAATCGGCGAAACGAAGTTTGGCACCATTCAACCTCATGCCCACTTTCTGTTGTATACTCCGCTACCTCTGATCTTTGAACCCATCACATTCTATAGGTACGTTTGTGTTCGGCCACCCTTTTCGAATGAGGCAACAAGGGCCGAAAGCCTAGCCGGTTTTCGTCCGAAACGAGGGAGGATGTCTCGTAGACTGCGTCAGCCTGAACGTCGTATTAAAGCCAAATGACTGGGGAACAACATCAATCAGCCATCGTCTTCTGGTGGGATCAAACTACGGATCTCTTCAACTCGTTCTTTATTTTCGACTTTAGGAATAAAGATAAGTTGGCTTTCTCGACATCAGTACTAATTTAAGCATCTGAATCAGAAGAGTTCCGACTTCTCATAAAAGTTGTTTCTGTCTTGTGACTGTCTGCCAGAGTGAATATGATTTCATTTGATATACAAGATTTGGCTCTAAATACCGTTTTGATTTCTGATGATAGTTCAGTCAGATTTAAAATATTGCTAGAGACCTTCATTTATCATGAATTTGCATGATGAAGGGATTGGTATCACGATCTCACTAAAAGATGACGGCTGACTTTCATACCAAATGAAAGTCACCACAACACTATTATCTTGAAAGAATCACGGAAACCCGTTTTTAATTCGTATATCCCGTCTACAATTGAAGTCCAGTTGAAGTTGTAAATACTTTTGGGAGGCAATGACAAATGAAATTCAATCACACTTCCAGTCATTTCCTTGTGGACATTCACCTCCAGGACTGACATCACCTTGAGATATTGAATATGACTAGATTTTATACCGAAATAAACCGACTCTTCCCTCTGTCGATGTACACGTAGCTGGGACTGAACTCTCGGACACATGCGCCACCATCACGCATCCGCTCTTCTCCCGATGAGATGGGCTCATCCGCTTTCGCAGACGTCATCTTCCATCAAGACTGTATCTTCTGCCGTCACAATTAGACGAGGCTTGACATAAGCCGGCAGCAGACAGTGAACGCCGGGTCGGATCGACTGGTAGCCTCATCTTCAGTTGACATGTCATGATGACTGCAATCGTTTGCCTGACAGGGAGTGCCATCTTTCCTTCGAGAATGATGCCGGATACTGGCTCCTGACCGAGAGGAACACACCTGACTGATTCGCTGATGTCTCCATCCAGTCTTCCATCAACACTTTCAGACCCTACCTTCTGGTGGTCAAGCTATTTAAAGAAAAAAGTTGACTCAAATGCTCGTCTCAGTGATGCTTCTAACCATCTTTGAATTTCCACATGTCGGATTAGCTAATTAACTCAGCCAGACGTAGGTTCGGGTTTACGAAATCCCAG